TATACATTTTCTCCCCGTGTATGTGTGAATTTCCTCTGCGTGCTTTAGTTTCCTACAGTCCAAAGAACTGGTGAACATACAAAGTGCGTTTGTGTCTGTGTGTGCCCTGAGGTGGACTGGTGTTCCACCCAGGGGGTATCCTGCTTTGTTCCCATTGCTTGCAAGGATAGACTCCGACTCCCCTGTGACCCTAAATTGGATGAAGCTGTTAAATTGAACGGATCGATAATATATGATGGCCCTGTCTAAAAGCAGGTATATTGGAACAACGTGCTTTTGAGAGGAATTATTGAAACCCGTGACATCAAGTGGAATCTTTGTCTGCCCCTGTTAAAGGTTAAAAAAAGAAATTACATAAATTATTAAATTTACAACCACTGCTCTGGAAATAATCCAAGAGTGGTAAAGGAAGAGAAAAGAGATTTATCCATCTTTCGAAAGTAGGGCATGGAGTTTAATGTTTCCGGTCTAATGGAAAAAGGCTTGCTTTACACAGGCCATCCAAAAAAAACATATTGTCTTACTTCAGAAAGGTATTTATAGATTCTCCCTCGAATGCCCAGTTTTTATGCCAGTTAATACGGAGAGACCTGAGATAGCTTGAAGGTGAATTACTCCCGTGAAAAGTTACCACAAATGAATTTAGCCCCTGGCAGCCTCAGTCCAATCCTAACAAGGAGTCTATGTCATTCCAGAGACCTTACAGAGAGATATGTCCTCAAGGAGACACAGCGGGGTGGTCACTGCATAAACTCATGAAAGAAAAACAATATTTGCAGTACAAGATAGCATTCTAAACTATCTTCATTATCGGCCAGACAATTTCTTTTAGAAACTGTATCTGTTTGCTTAAACTTGCCCTGCACCAAACATACTATACTGCAATGACTGATTAACTTATTAAATGTTAAATAATGGTTCTTTAAATAGTCTGCTGTTGAATTTGGCCACTTTCCTTTCAATTAAAAAGACACAAAGCTAAGACTGTACTTCTAACATTTCAGCATAGTTGAAAAAATCACAAAAAAATGTTCATTTGTTAAAAATACAACAACAATAATAATAATTGGTTGATAATGTTACAATATACTGTAGATAAACATGGAATATAGAGATTTAATGATAGAATATACAGTACAGTATGTCCAATTCAGAGATGCCTTTATGGTTTGCAAATAACTTTGAAAATCAGAGTTATTAGCAATTAATAGGTAAGAGATTCTGGAGCCTCACCCATTTTTAAATCTACAGAATCATTAATGAAACATTACTTTTTGAAATTGCAAAAGCCTTTTCAAGACTCATGTGTTGAGGTATCATCTGTGTCCTCTCAACTCTGTGAATAACTCTCACACTGCATTGCACTGATGTTTTTAATTCACAGATTGGTAATGCAATTTGCTTGTCACACATTCACTGGAAACATGGAAAACATCCCAACAGAATGTCTGCAGCAGTGCTTTGCATTCTGTTTATGCTGCTATTGTTTTGATATTTTCCTCATCTGTTGTTTCTTTTTGCACAGTACTTCTATTGCACTTTCCATGGTTATTGTGTGGGCCTTGTTTTATTTTTTAAATATCATTTTTGAATGTTTTACTGTATGTGCATGATATCATTTATTATTTGCTTTGAACTCGCATTCAATGGAAAAATTCATTCAGATCTATTCAGATCACTTACTCATCAGATGTCATGTGGCAGTAGATTATCCGTCTCAGTCCTTGTAACTCATTTAAATAGATACAAGCACACATTAAACATTCAAAACATTAGACCATTGAACTAATTATTTGTTCAAAAATTTCAAAAATAGTTTTCAACTGAATGTTGTACAATTTGGAAGGCACAAAAAGGCATAGAAACTAATGCATCTTGGTGCAAAATTCAGATGTTACAGTCTATAAGCAGTTAAACTCTTTTAGTCCATAGTGAGCATGAATGTCTGGCATTCTTATGTGACCAGCTATCAAATATTGATGGGCTGCCGCAGCCAAAATCTGTGGTATTTTGGGTATTTGTCTCTGTGATGGTGTTAAAAATGGCAATTATCGTCAGCGCCTTATTTACACAACACAGCTGCAAGATCACCTCTGTGGGTAACAGTGCCTTTCCACTTGGCAAATTTACTGTATTCCTTTGCTCATTGATGGAGATAAACAAGGTTTTGTGTTAACAGTACAGATGTTCCCCTCTGGTCTGAATTAATTTCTGTGCTGTGTTATCTAAAATACCAATGAGTTTTAAAATGTACAGTTTAGTATATTTAATGACATATACACCTGGAAAGCTTTTCACAGACAAGGTGAAGGTCCTTGTCAAAGCATGAGCAGTTCAGTGTCCATTAGAAATCTGTCTCTTGTGTTTAGTACAACAATCACTGGTCTGTCACCCAATTACGATAAGCAGCTGCCTTTCCTCTCCTGGTCTGCAAGCTTTTTCATCCTTGTCCAACAACCTCAGCATGTTTGATCATCAGTACAGGGTTGATGCATGTGTTATCTTTTAATTCTGCCTTCCACTCTGTTTCCAAGATAGGCACTGGGTTATCATGACCCTCAACAGGAACAATCTTTTTGATAACATATGGATGGGTGTCAATTGCGCACATGTGAAATCTTAGGAGCCAAAACGACCAAATTCTAATGCTTGTGTAATTCAGTCCTCCATGTACGGTATAGGTCAAGGAATGCAAGTTGCAACTCTGCATATAACTTACTAATGGACCAATCTGTTAAGGAATGTTTATGTTAAAAACAACTTTCTAAAATGTAAAATATCCTAGTTTACAAATAGTAAAGTAAGGAACATTATTTTTTTTTAAGTAAAAAAAAACTCTGCCTCCAAAATGTGGTAAACCTCAACTCATTGGACTTTTGCCTGAAGATGCTTTCCTGTCCACAGGGCAGGGGAAATGAGCTTTGTTCCAGAGGCACTCAGGCTTGCAATGACTGTAAAGAAGTCTCATCAATATGAGGTCTGTTGGACAGAAACCCTACAAATCTGCATGTACTGTATTTTAATACTACACAGTTACTTTCAACAACTTCTGTGGTTCATTTGCAGTTTTTATCTATGTACTTATATTTTTGCAATTTTTTATTATGTGTTGTCTGCTACACTATTTGCTCTTAAACACCCCCAGGAATGAATACATTATTATTACTACTACTACTACTAATACATTCCATAACAGCACTTAAATTACAAACTGGACGAGTACGAGGAAAACCATCATGTAAGTACAATAAAATTAAATTAGTGGCTACGAGATGCAAGAGCTGTGAAAACCAAATTGAACTAAAATATACAGTAGGCAGAGTACCAAAAAACTCCTGTCAGCATGCATTCCAAGTGTACTGTGTATAAGTGCAATGTCAAATTACATCTCCAGCATGAGAATTAAAAGCCCAGGCATCAGTTATTCTGAAGGATAAAGTTGAGAGCTGAGACCACTGAGTGACAGGTACTGTCGAAACAAATGAGTGTGGGGAGGTTTTTTTGTGATGTAATTTGAAATACTAAAGGTTCTCTAGGGGCTAACATTGTGGCACAGTGGTGCCACTAGAACACTAGAGCCCTTGTTTAAATTCTGGACTTGGGGTGCTATCCATTATGTATACATAATTTGGTTGACTCCCACAGTCCTAGGACATACTGAAAAGTTGGCTTCTGGGAAAAGTGGCCCTGATGCGAGTGTGTGCCCTGCAAAAAACTGGTGTCCTGTCCTGACTGTATCCTACTTTACCTTATACCTGTTGCTTGCTGGAATAGGCACTGGGTCCCCTGCAACACTGTATCTTTATCCAATACAGGGCAAGAAATTGGATAATAATTATAACAATTGCTTTTACTTATATAGTGCTATTGTGGACACTCCACTCAAAGCTCTTTACAGGTAATAGGGACACCCCTCTACCACTACCAATGTGCAGCATTCACCTGCCATGATGCCATAGTGCACACAGTACACTCACCACACATCAGCTATCATTGGGGAGGAGAATAGTGTGATGAAGCCAGTTCATAGATGGGGATCATTAGGAGGCCATGATTGGTAAG